TTGCGGTAACCGATTTCTTTTTGGAAATTTCAATTTAGCTCGCAGTGCTGACTTTTTCGCCAAAGAAAACTCTGCTTTATGAATGCATTATTAATATATTTAAAAAAAAAACAGTCTAAAAACAATTTTTAGTATAATCATAACTTTTGCCTTTGTATAAATCGTGGCGTTTCACTTGAGGATGCACTTCATGGATGGCACGATCTCCTCGATCCAGTCGATGCTGATCTCTGTGACCTGCCGCAGGAAGTTGTGCTCCGTCTGGACGAGCTCCGTGAAGATGAGGCACTGCGGCTTGTACTTGCCATGGAGCACGCTCGACGGGTGAATCTTTGCCTTGACACGCCCACTCAGCGTCAGATAGTGGCCCTCCTTCTGGAGCAGAGCAATATTGTCGAACATTCCCGTGAGCAAACACTTCTTCACGGCGTCCGTGTTGTCGCCGCAGCTGTTGAGGGCCAGATTCAGCTTGGTGCTGATCTCGGCCAGCTGATTGCGCACATTTCGCGCATAGTTCAGATTCCGAATGTTTAGGAAATTGTCGTGGCACCAGATCTTCGGCTTCTCTGTCTTCTGGAAGGTGGAGAACACATTTAGCAAGGTCAGATGATCGCCGTGCTTCGACTGGAATTTCGCGTGGGCCAAGGCCGCCAGCTCGCTCTTGTCCGTGTGGCCAATGAAGACGTTGTCGCTGGATAGCGCCGCCACCAGACTGAGCATCTCCTCCATGCAGCCGAATGTGGGCGCGGCCAGCAGCAGCTTGGCGTATCGCGGATCCAATGGGAACTGAGCCATCCAGCGACCCGTCGTCGTTATGCTGCCCGCCTTGATCGCGCCTAGCTGCTCCAGCGCCTTGTAGGCACTCTCGACGCCCTCGGCCGGCGGCTTGTCGATGAAGTCGAAGCTGGCGCAGTCGATGCCCAGCGCCAGCAACTGCAGCACTGTGGCCGTCAGATTCGCCCGCAATATCTCCGGCTGCGCAGCCAGGCGAAACTTCTCCATGGCGGCCTTGGTGTAGATGCGATAGCAGATACCCGGAGCATCACGTCCGGCGCGTCCGCTGCGCTGCCAGGCCTGAGCCTGTGAGATGCGCACAGTCTTGAGCAGATCCAGCCCGGAGCTGGCATTGAATGACTTCTCCTTGACGTAGCCACAGTCGATGACGCACCTAATGCCCGGAATGGTGATCGAAGTCTCTGCTATGTTTGTAGCCAGCACGATCTTGCGCGTATTCGCTGGCACCGGCAGGAAGCACTCCAATTGCTTGCTCTGCGCCAGCTGAGCGTAGAGGGTGAAGACGCGCACATCGGACGGACCCGAGTTGTTGATTCGCGCCAGCTGACGGATCTGCTGGGCCAGCGCCTCGATCTCCTCCTGACCCGTCAGGAATATGAGCACGTCGTGGTTGATGGGCTCGTGGCGATGGATATCAAAGAGGGTGACTAGCGTGGCATGAATGTAGTCTTCGTGCGGCTCCTTGGTGTGCAGCACACGCACCGGATGCGTCCGGCCCTCCAGGTACATGCCCCTCACATTAAAATATCTGCCGAAATGATCAATGTCCATTGTGGCCGAGGTGATTACTAGCTTCAGCTTGGCCAGCTTGTGCTTGCGCCGCTCCTGCTGTGCCTCCTTCACAATGCCAAAGAGCAGATCCGCATTCACCGTGCGTTCGTGCGCCTCGTCCAGCATGATGACAGAATAGCGGCGCAGCAGACGATCCCCTATCGCCTCCCGCAGAAGTATGCCATCTGTCAGGTAGCGGATACGAGTCCGTTCCGTTGTTGCGTCCTCGAAGCGGACCGTATAGCCTACTGTGTCGCCCACATTGCTCCCCAGCTCCTGGGCGACGCGCTTGGCTATTGTTATGGCCGCCACACGCCTGGGCTGTGTGATGCCAATGATTCCACTGTTAGCGTAACCCGCTTGCAGTAAAAATTGCGGGATCTGGGTCGTTTTGCCAGAGCCCGTCTCGCCCATAATCAGCAGTGTGTCATTCGCCTCCAGCTCCTTGAGAATGCGCTGCCTGCAGTGATACACGGGCAACGCTTTGCGCTCCTGATCGATGCAGCTCCTCTTGTTGGTCAGCAAATTTTTGTTATTGTTCGGACTATAATTCGGTTTCTTGATGCAATTTAGTTCTTTCATTGGCTCAAGCTTCCGCTTGGCGGCAAAGTTCGAGGTCAAACTTGCATTACCATTGCCATTGCTATTACCACTGCCATTGCCATTGATCAGGTATTTCGATTCCATTTTGCGTAGATTTTTCTGCAAATCAAAAGTTGTTAACTCGCCTTTATTTACTTATTTGTTCTGCAACTGATATTGTTATCAGTTGTAACTGTCCATACTTACCGGGACATGGGCCTCAAAAGCGGCAACTTTATTGCAAAGTAAATATACTGCTTGTAAATAACTAGAAAACAAATAAAAATACAAAGTCTCTGGCCAAAGGCGCTGCACGCTTATGCTTTAGTGATGTGTGAAGTGCAAAAGTATCGTGACATATTAAACATCGATAG